TTTCTTGAAAAAAATGGTAAAAATAATAAAATATGTTTGTTATTTTTTTAGGATTGAACTCTCGAACATATGACCGAAATTCGGGAACACATGCCTGAACATTGTTTATTTGTTCGGGAACTGGTAATCGAACATTTATTATGTGTTCGGAAACAAGTAACCGAACATTATAGGTTCGGACAAGTTTTACTGAGAAAACTAAACCAATTATTATAAATTTTTTTTATGTAATAGAAGAAATTATTATGAAAAAACTATGAAATTATGTGTATTTATATAGAGAGAGAGAGCATACCAACTGTGATAATGGTGGATGAGGTAGTGAGACAATAATCACATTGCCTCTTCTTCTTCTTCTTCTTCTTTGTGGGCTTTGTTAGGGGTTTTTTGGAAGTGGGATTTTTTTGGGGTGTAGGGGTGTGGAGGGTGTACATTCAATGGATGAAATGTTTTCACAAGAATAATTTTGGTATTATTTGGGAGAGGGAAAGAAATTTTAAGGATTTTAAAATTTATAAGTGAGGGTCCAAAGAAATAGGGGTCTAAAATAATTCATGGGAGGTTAATAGCACCACTCAAAAAAAAAAAAGAATTAACTTCTTGAATATTTTTTTCATTCTTTTACGAAAGGACATGTAAAAAATTAGAGAAAATCATTTGACAACTTATAATATTTTTTTTTGATTTTTTAACTACAAAAATCATATTCCCAAACAAGGCATTGGTACAAAAAAAAAAGGGTAAAATACAACTACACCCCTTGAGGTTTACTTAAAATACATATTGCCCCTATGATTTTGGAAATTACATATACTCTCTTATCAAAAAAATTTATTTAACAGAACTAATAGAAAAAATAATTTTTTTAACTACTTTCCTATACAAAACATCATTACCCTATTTGTTAATTAAAATATATTTATTGACATCATTAAAATTTATTAATTGATTTGATGATTTATTAATAAAAGATGTCATTTGTTATGTGATTAGAAGCTTAAAAAGGCAAAGTAATTTTTTGAATTACAGGAGCCCATCCATATTTTAAACAAACCTGAAAGAGTATACCCAAACAATAAACGTGCTTCCAGAGATTAGAACTCTAAAGATTAACACTAACCAATCTTGTGATTATGTTCCATCTCATGACTGAAAAATTATTTGGCGCTCATGAAGTGTCACGTGGCGATATTTCTCACTAATCACAGTACATTATGTCGTTTGGTATTTCCTAAACAGCCAATATAAAAATATAAATCTCACCTCTTTCACCAATCACAACACTCTTGAGACACTACTTTGCGATATCCCAAGAACAACTAATAACTTCTCCTCTATACTGATTAGTCAACTGTTGGAATTTAAACCCACACTCCAAGCTTGGAATAGGGTTTGTTGATCCTTGGAAATCTAACCCCTAAGAACATCTTCACTTGAATTTTAAAAAAATTATAAGTCAACTTATTTTGAAAGCTTATTAAGGTCTTGTTTGTGAACTAAGTATTTTAAGTAAAAAATTAAAAAGTAATTATAAATTGTCATATCATTTTTTTTTATTTTTTTACATATATTTTTATAAAATGTCAAAAAATTATTAAAATAACATATTCACAAATGAAATCTAAATTGGCATATTGACATTTCTAATAAAAATACTTTAATTGATATGTCAAATTTATTATTTTATTAGTTTTATTTTAAACTTTATTTATTTTAATGTTTTTAACACTTTTATAGATTCTAATCATTAAAATAATAAAAATAAAATGATTTCCATCTTCCTAAGGGGTTGTTTGGGGTGTCCTAAATAAGTGCACTTTTTGTCTTTTTGGACTAAAAAATTGAGGTTGAAAATATAGATGTTTGGGTTAACTTTTTGACTTTTTATGGAAAAATGTGTAATAAAAAATTGTAAAAATTAATTTGTAGAGAAAAATTTGAATTGGGAGTTGTGCAGCCGTAATTGTTGACTTTTGGTGAATAGTGTTAACTTTTTAACTTTTTAAGTAACTTTTTGTCTTTTTATCTTTTTTTAAAGATCCCAAACTTGCCCTTAGTATGTCAAAATGAACAATGTTCAACGCATGTCAAATGTCATTTCACTTTTAGCGGCTAAAATGGGAGACAAGTGGATGCCAAATGTACTGATCAAAAATGTCACCTAAGCCCTCGCTTGTAAATATGTTAATTTAGTAATTTTTTAATTATTTGATTAAAATATGAGTTAAAAAAAATTAATATGTTTGGAATAATTTTTTGACTTTTTACAAAAAGATGTGCAAAAAATAGAGAGAAAAGAGAATTTTTGACTTTTTGGTATTGGTTGTTAGCTTTTTGATTTTTTTAGTGACTTTTTGACTTTTTAACTAAAAAAGTTACTTGTCAAACGAGACCTAAGAATTAAAATTAAGAAAATGGTTGAGACCATTAATTAGTGGTAACACTTATGATATGACAGTAAGTCATATTTATTGTCACAATGTTACTGTGCCTTTTTTTATTTATAAATGTGTGCCAACTCACTAGTGATGCTTTAGAGCACCACTTTTAATGACATGTATCATTGCCTTTAAAATTATTTTAGCAAGTCGAATAAAAGTTAGTTTTTTTATTTTTTATTTTTGTTGTCACATTATCTCTCTTTATTTTTTATACTTTTTTTAAAAAAAATTAAAAAATTAACTTTTAACATACTTTTCAAAATTCGACGGAGATGCTAAGAACGAAGCTAGCAAGCTTCTCCAAACATAGGGCCCGTTTCGTAGAGTTGTAAAAAAATGATTATAAATTATAACTTAACAGTTTATAGCTTATAACTGTGAATATAAGCTGATTTTTGACTTATAAATTAAGTTTCTCCTCCCCTACTCAAAGAATAAGTTGATTTTTAACTTATAAAAAGGTACAATTTGTATTGTTAAGCTGAATCAAACACATCAAAATAGCTTAAACTAAGTTAAAAATTAAAATAAACTGAAAATAAATCCTACCAAACAGGGTCATAAATTACTAATGAGAAATTATTTTATGTAAAAAGTGCATCATGTGAGTGAAATAATGTGATGTACCATCCCATTTATTAATTGATGTGTGAGTGAAATAATGTGATGTACCATCCTATTTATTAATTGATATGTGAATGTTTGACCCAAAGTATTGAATAATACATATACAGTCATATCAAATCTCCATTTCACACATATTGTGGTTGCATTTGAAATTTAATTTTTAAAATGTTTTTTTAACTTTTTATAAAAATATATGAAAAATAATAAACCAATAATTTAACAATTTATAATAACTTTTTAGTTCAAAAATCTCCCTTCCTAAACATGGTGTAAAAGAGTAAGAGCAACTCCAATACTTGTTGCATCAGAGAGAGGAGCAACATCGTATGCAGAGAGCTTTGAGGCAGATGGAAGAGGTGTGGACTGACCTATATTTGAACAAAAAAATGTCGTGTCATCCAGAACAGTATCGTCATTCTTGTTTTACAATGGCAAGGCTTAAGGTTTATCGGTCTCTTGCATCATTGCAAGAACCTTGAGAATCTCCTTGTAATCCTTTTCAACTTATAAGTAGAATTTGTAACTTGCTATCCTCTTTGCTTGACAGGCAAAGATTTACCTATGTGGAAATGATGATTCACTTAAATTCGTATGAGAGTCTAACTGCATTGTATTATCATAACCCATGTTATATATTTGAAAGTAGTTGACCTCTTAAACTTATCCCAAAAGAGTTACACGTGGGATTACTATCCATGAGGGGTATTCAGCATCATATTGACGTAATCCCATTCAAATCAAGCTACTTATTAGATGAGTCCACCGTATGAACATAGAGCCACATCACTTTCAAGTATAGTTTGAGTGTTAAGCACAGAACTATGGTAATAGGTAGGTATAAATATTAAAATAATAATATAAAAAAATATTTATAAAATATAATTTTTAATATTAAAATATATTAAAAATACCAAAGGATATGCATGATTTTTTATATAATTAATCTCCATATAAAATATATCAATAAATAAATATAATTTTTTTTAATATCTTCACTAATAATTCTCACATTGATAATCTCTTTATTAACAATTTTGATACTACCAATTCAACCCAATTAATCTCAAAATAAAAGAGCCCTAGAAAGTATCTCTAATAATTTTTTGTTGGAATTAAATATATTCCTTTGTGCGGTTCCAAAAAAATATATATATATATATATATGTATTTTAGTGTGTAGAGCATGTAGGGTCTAAATTTCTCCGACAGAAGTGTTAAGAGATAATACTTACTAATAAGGGGTTTATTTAGGGTGTCTTAAATAAATGTATTTTTTGTCTTTTTTGAACTAAAAAATTGAGGAAGAAAATGTAGATGTTTGGTTACATTTTTACTTTTTATAGAAAATATGTAATAAAAAATTGTAAATTGATTTGTAGGAAAAATTAAGATTAGGAGTTGTGCATTATAATTGTTGACTTTTGGTGAATAGTATTAACTTTTTAACTTTTTGAATAATTTTTTGATTTTTTAATATTTTTATATTTTTATAATATGTTAAATTTGGCCTAAATATGTTAAAATAATTAATCTGTCTATTTTTTTTTTGAATAAAAAAAAAAAAAAAAAAGAGTTTTTGAAACGCATCATTTGGACCAAGTAACGTTCACGTAAGAAATTACTTTCCCTCAGTTACTTTTCTAGTGTAGACTAGAGTACACAAAGCCTCTCTCTCTTCACGTGCTCATGATCAGTTCATCAGGTAAGGTCTCTGGTCGGAGTCGGAGTCTGAGACGGAGGTGTAATTTATAATGATTTAAATAAGTGTATTTTTTAATTTTTTTTTAATGAAATATAAATTGTATAGGATGTGAATCTGAAGTGACGTGTTAAAAAGATAATATAATTAAAAAAAATTGATATGACTCAACTAAGATAATAATTTTTGATTTTTTTAAATCATGCCAAAAAAACAAAAAAGCCTCAGTTCTCTAATCATCATCCCTGTACGGCCCACTCGTTCTCCTCTCTCTCTCTCTCTCTCTCCACACCTGTATTGCTTCTCTCGGCTCAGGAAATCCCCCATTGACCCTCCAAATCGCTCCTTCATTTCACCATCTTCGACCCCATTTTAGGGTTTCACAGAGAGACAGAGAGAGAAAACCATATTGTGTCTCTGAGGTCGTCTATGTAGAGTCCAAGCATGGGCTGTTTTCAGTCCAAAACCGCCAATGTTCAGTCCCCAGACCTAGAACCCTCTCAACCTGACTCCAAACCTGATCTAGGTACTAAAACCCACTTCTTCACATACTACAATACAATTTCTTTTTCTATTCTATTCTATTGTATTATGGATTTGTGTGTGTGTGTGTGTGTTTTTAATTTTTGATTGAATGTTGTTGGTGAAGCTAATGAAGAGCAATTGGATCAAGATCAAGTAGTTCCTGCATTCAAAGAGTATAGTCTTGCTGAGTTGAGAGCTGCCACAAATGGGTTCAGTAGCGAATTGATTGTGTCTGAGAGTGGTGACAAAGCTCCCAATGTTGTTTACAGAGGCAAACTGAAGAACAATCGCTTTGTTGCCGTTAAACGCTTCTCCAAGCTTTCCTGGCCCGACCCTCAACAGTTTGTGGTAAATTTATAGTGTGTGTGTGTGTTTTTTTTTCCTCTTCCATATTGGGGTTAAAGATTCAAATTAAACTAAGCCTTGTGTTTCAATTAGCTGGGTTTGGTTACATGAATCTTTTTTGCTGATTCTACGTAGATATAATTTTTTTTTTTGTTGGGTTTTTAATGGAATTTTTATTGATGATTATTTAAATAAATTTAGGGATGCCGGAGTGATCTTAGTTACCTATGGCTTAAGTCTTTTCAAGGGTTCTCTAAATGGTGGGATCAGTGATGTGCTTTTGGATAATAGAATTGTTGTTTGGGGGGTGGGGGAAGGGTCAGTTCTTGGAAGCATTTATGCTGGGGGGAGGAGTGGCTTCCCTAGGGAATGCAAGATGGCGGATTTTCTTCAGATTTAGAAATTCCCGTACCCGCTCAACCTTGCTGGGCCTTGACCACAGAGCAGATTTTTCCCCTGCATCCGAACCTGTCCCCTGTCACTTGACTAAACCAAACTAGTATGCTCTCATCATAATTGAGAATTTAATCAATGGTTCAAGCAAAAGTGATGTTTTAAGCTATCTTACCAGGGTTGTGTTTCCTTCTGGTGGGTTGTGTCTCCTGTGGGTGAGGTAGAGAGATAAACCAGAGTGAGAGAGAGAGAGAGTTGCAGAGAATATGAAACGTGTACAGATTTTTATTATGTTATATAGACTTCTTATAGAGTTTTTTTTTTTTTGGTTCAAGACATCTTATAAACTTGGTAGTCTTTTAGACTTTTGGTACATATTTTTAGTTGTCTTTGAAACTTCTTGTAGACTTGGTAATCTTTTAGACTAGTCTTTTATTAGGGTACATGCTTTTGTAGTTTTTTACACTTCCCACAATACTAGCCTTTTAGACTTCTAGAGCTAGATTGTATATATAGATATATACACATAATTATTATACAAAAGATGTAAAAATATTACATTTACTTATATATACAAGGTCATATCGAATGATGCATCCCCTGTCACTTCGGGTGGAGAAACAAACACTTACTCCCGCCCCATTTTTTTATCGGATAAGGTAAAATCTGTTCCATTCACATAGGGCAGGGTAGGGTGTCCACGGGGCTGGCCAAAATGGCCATCCCTAGTTTCCCCTCTCTTTTCTTTTGTATTGCAATTGACATACAACCTTTCATTGGGGGATTATGTTCATATAGGAAGATATTTACTTTTCTCATTTATAAGGGAATTAAATGATTGGGAGGAGGATGAGTTAGTGGATCTTCTTAGCTTGTTGTATGTTATCCCAACATGGGGACGGACTTATCCCAAAAACAGGGACGGACGTGATGCTTTGGGCTGGAAGAGGTAAAGATTGGGGTGCTTTCAGGTGAAATATTTCTGAGGCATTAGTAGGTGGTAGACTGGTATCCTTTCCCTAGAAAGGGATGGCTTCCTACGACCATTTCTAAGGTAGTTTTCTTTTGTGGACAAGGATGCATGTAATTTTTATCTTTTTCATTTTACCATTGACGATTTGATTAAATGTGGGAAAGTCATTGTGAATTGGTATTGCATGTGAAAAATGATGGGGAGTCAGTTGATCACCTACTTATTCATTGCATGGTGGCTAGGGACCTTTGGGTGATGATTCTAACCCTTGGCATATTTGGCGTTCGTTGGGTTTGGTGGATTTATTGTTTTGTTGGAAGATTGGAAGAGTGGGTAGGAAAAGGAAGAAGGCTTGACTTTTTGTACCATCATGTTTGATGTGGATCATTTGGGGGGAGCACAACCGATGGACTTTTAAAGAGGTGAAGTGACTGATGTGTATGGTAACTAGAGATTGATGTCTATTTTGTGTAGTTGGATATCAAGGAATGTTACCCATCTCTTGATTAATTTTAGATTTCATAGACTGTTGAGGAAGAAGTTTTTGTATAGTTGCTTTTTCTTAACCAAGCCTCTGCAATTTCAGAATCTCCCTGTCGAATGGCCTGTTTTCCGCGGTCGGAATTTATAATTGTATGTGGGTGGCACCCCCCCTTGGTGCATTGTGAACAATACTTATTAAAAAACTGTATTCTTAGCTTATTTTATATCAATGGCACTGTAATCACTATTTTCAGTTGTTATTGTTGATCCCTTTCAATTTTTATAATACATGTACAACTAATTAATGGTTTTTAAAGGCATTATTTATCATAATTTTTGATTTATTTGGTACCTTTTCTTTCGTGTGAGACTCATGTTGGTTTGGTTAATTATGTAAAAGCTACTTATGTTTTCTCAAGAACATTATTTTCAGCTAGAAGCTGCTGGAGTTGGCAAGGTTCGGCATAAGAGATTGGTGAACTTAATTGGGTGTTGTGCTGAGGGAGATGAACGTCTATTGGTGGCAGAATTCATGCCCCATGATACACTCTCGAAGCATTTGTTTCACTGTATGATTTCTGGACTTTTTCCAATGTTGTTGCATTCTGAAGAAAGTCTCCTGTCTTAGTTGAAGATCTTTTTTATGGATTACATGCATGTATGTTTGTGTGTATGTATGTATGGGGCATGATTAATTTAGTCTCCCAACCTAGTTGAAGATCTTCTTTATTGATTACGTGCATATGTGTGTGTATGTATGTATATATGGGGCATGATTAATCGAACTTAATCTAGGAGGAAATTAACAATTAATTTTCTTTCAACCCTCAAAAACTTTTTCTAAGATTTACGTTGCATTTGTAAACACCAATTTACCTTAACAAAAAAATAAAATGAGTATTTAAAAAATATGAAACCTAGCTGTGTTGTGGTATCCTTGTACATGAAAAATTAGATGAATCGGAAAGACATGTACCCGCACCCTATGTCTTCCTGAGTCCATGTAACAGAGACTTTTGTTGCAGGTTCAATTATGTTTTCTTACCAGATGTAGATTGTTCTGAAGCTTGTTGCTTGATTTGTTCTTTTTCTGCCTTTGAATAATGTGGGCCTGAGTTTTAATTGTTTACTGTAGGGGATAAACAACCTCTTCCGTGGGAAATGCGTGTAAGAGTTGCATGCTATATTGGACAAGCTCTTGATCATTGCAATGCTGAAAATAGGAAAATCTATCATGATTTAAATGCTTACCGAGTTCTTTTTGATGAGGTACACATTTGAATATGGTTACTATTTCTAGAAAAGATTAGTTTTGTCTGGGGTACACTAGTTGCTTTGTGTTTAAACTTTTGGAAATATGAATGCATGAGCCTCTGGGGTTTGGTGAATACTTAAGAGTGTTAAACAATGTGTAATCCACACTTTGGAATTGGAGGTCATCTTATTTCACAATTTGTAATACGGGGGGCTCCAATTCCAAACCCATGGCATGCATTCCATGCTGCCAAACATGGTAGGAGTGATTTTGGTATTTGCTATGTTACAGTTTACATGCATAATTATCTTAGCTCCTAACTGAAAAATCGATATGCTACATATTTATGTTTTCTGCTTTCCTGGAGTCAAAATTTTGCATATACAATAAGATTAAGAAAAATTTAAAAACAACGCCCAATTAGTACACATTAATGTGTGTTTGGGAGGGAACAAATTGAGTACACACCTAACCTTTGCATGTACAATAAGATTAAAAAAAATTATGATTAAAATATGAAGAGAGTGAAATACTTACATAGTCCTTTTGTATGTATACATACAAATATAAATAAATAAATAAATAAAAGATGAAAATAAGTGTGCATTGGCTGATCTGATGCCCTGAAGTTTTGAAATCACTTAAAATAAGTAAGATTTATAAATAAGAAGCATATTAAGTGAGTGATATCCTGAAGTTGTGAAATGACTTAAACCATGAATATGTATTTGCTTAATAAATGAGAGTATGGTTAACAATGGTGGACAGAAAGAAATTTTCTCGAAGAAGCTGGACCGGACAACATTATAGAAAAGATATTGACCCATACATCGTCACATTTTAAGAAGCAAAGAAATATGGTGGAGAAGTAACTCATGGAGGAGTTGGAAAACAATAGATTGACAAGACAACCACCAAGAATAATGTGAGTTATTCTGCCCATAAGATGAAATGAGATTAGGAGTTTAAGTTCTTTATGGTAATTATGTGACAGGGAGTTTGGGTGACATTACTTGTGTCAAAAAATAATGTGATTTTTTTTTTGTCGGGTAATGTTCTTTTCATTGTGAGAAAGTTCAAGTGACATTAATTATATGACAAATGAGTGGGTGATTCAGCATTCTTATGGGCACAGGCATGCCGGGTAATTCAGCTTTTGGTTTTTCATCGGCCATTGATGTTCTTTTCATTGTGAATTTATGAGGTATTGCTGCCAGTTGTCTAAAACAGTATATAATTTTGCTGAAGACATTGAAAAACAGAGTTATAATTAGAAAAAGAAAGCACAAAGATACATAGCAGGAATGAAAGGATCCCTTAAAGAAAATGAGCAGTGACCCAAAGGAAAAGAAAGAAATAGGGAATATTACCTACCCTTGATGATTCCTAATCATGCTTTTGGACTCTTTTATAGCTCAAGTTTCCCCCCTTTCTCCTCTGCTCACATGCAGTGTTGTTTTAGTTAGCTACATGTCATATATATGCATTGCCGCTTCTTTATAATACTTGTAATATTTTATATGAGAATATGCCTGTGTGTTGATATACTAACATGCTTAGGCAGGCACATACTTTAGTGCTAGCTTATATTTAAGCAATTCTATTTCTAAGACATGCATGAAATTGGAAAATTAAAAATACTTGGTTTTTGCCCCTTCTTGTTTATGTGAAGTGATTGTCTTTTACTTATCTAACAGGAAAAAAGGAATTTACCTAAAAATAATAGGAAAAAAATATCAGGTTTCTCTGTATGAAGAAAACTTTCATGGTGAGGTGTTTTTCATCTGGATTACTTATGTGAACCATTTTCCCCTCAGCTCATTCTTCAAGTTTACTGAAATGATGTATTGCTCCATTCATTATTCAGAACATGATGTATTGCTTATATTTGCTCACATTTTCCATCTAGCATTGAATATATATATGTTTTCTGGCAGTTGCAGTGAACTTATCTGGTTTTTGGTGAACTCAATTTGTTATTATGCCAGGATGGTGACCCCCGATTATCTAGTTTTGGTCTTATGAAAAATAGCCGAGATGGGAAAAGTTATAGCACCAATCTGGCTTATACTCCACCTGAGTTTTTGCGTACTGGTACATCCAGATGTTTTCACTTTCTGTTTGTTTCTGTTTATTAGTTAAAGAATTTAATTGTAGGGGGTTTGCTTCTGAGAACTTTCTTTATCTGGTTTGAGCATGCTGTTTTTCTTTGGTTGTTGTTTGTAACCACTAGAACCTTCCCTTTTTTAGTTCTTTTTTCTGGGTGTAATCACTGGACAATGATTGCATACATGAAATGTAAACTGTAGGTTTAGAAGAGAACATTAAATTGACTTAAGATGTCAATTTTCTTCTGTGGCCAAGTTGTCCTTTTCATGTTTGGATGGTGGTATCTCATGGTCTATGTTTCACCATTCATTCTGTCATGTATTACGAATCTTATGATAATTACTGGTAACATGTTGGGAGTATTGGAATTTAGTTTCACCATGAAAAATGGGAATGTTTTGTTCGTTTGTTGATTAAATAAATGTAATTGCTGACTACCAACACATAGATGTGTAAAATGTTAAGTCTGTACCCAATCTACATTTTCTAGATCTCAATCCAAATGGGACTAAATAGGGCATATTGTTATCTGATGTGTTACCAATGCATTGATTTAATGGCCCTATCTGTCATGTCTTATACCAATGCATTGGTGACTGATCAGATGGTATCCAAAATTTGGTGCCTAAATTTGTTCACTGTATCAATAATGCGAACACATATTGAAATATGTTGTACTGACATTAAACTGCATTCTTATGGGCTATTTCACATGCTTGGATAGGCTTGAGAATGAGCCAGAGTTGTGCAAAATATGAGCAAACCTAGCTTTAACATTTTAGCTAAGCCAGAGGTTAAGCTTTACATATACGTGATTAAGTTTCCACCAAATCAAGCTCTAACATCCTAATATTCAGCTCTACTCAATCTGTTTTCTTCCATATCTATAATCAATTGGCAGCAATTTGAATTAGATGCCATAAAATTATGTGGATTATATTACTCGGTGAAAAGTGTTTGGAATTGTCACAATGTTTTGGGTTTCTTTTCAATGTCCATTGGGTGAGGCTATAGTTTCTCTATTGTACATGAGTCAAGACTTAAGAATTTATATTCAGTCCATATGATTTGGGTGCTGACTTTTTGCAGGTAGGGTCATTCCAGAGAGTGTTGTCTACAGTTACGGAACTGTTCTTCTGGATCTTTTGAGTGGAAAGCATATCCCACCAAGCCATGTACTATACATTCTATTACATATACCATCTCAGTTGTTCTCTACTCTTTTAAGATTCTTCTTCAATTTTGTTTTCCTTTATAATCATGTTGTAGTATTGGCCTTATAAATACATATGATGATATAATAATAAGAATGGGCAAGCTTTGCATGTGTAGCAAATAAGATGATGTATAACTTGTATCTTGCCTAGTGGTAGGTTGGGGCCACTGTGGAGCAACACACATCACCAAAGGGAAAAACCTACATGGGTTGGTATACCTTTTAATAAATACTAGTTCTTTCTAGGTATGATGTGGATGATAATTTATAACTAAACAATGAGATTTTTTGTTTTTTTTTCCTTGACAAGTAACTAAAGAATGAGAAATTTCTCCCAATGAAGTTGTTCTTGATATTATTATTAGCACACTTTTGTCTTGGAAGATGGATTCTAGCTGGTTCACTCGAACTTATTTCTGTGATGTACAATTATGAAGGTTTGTACAAATGGCAACGTAGTGGTTAAATCAGAAACACTTTTGAATAAGTAAAATGTAATTATTGTAATTAATTAGAGGGCCACTGGTTTAGTGGTTAAAATTCGGCCTAATAACCTTGAGGTTGTGCGTTTGAATCTGAGGGCAACCACATAGTATATAACGGTCAAAGGTTAGGTTTGTACCTAGTCCACCCCTCCCAAAGCTGGGTCATTCTATTTCTGCACACCAATGTTTTGCAGTTCACACATTTTCTAAGTTCACACTTTAAAATTTCCACCCCATTGTATGCTAATTTCCTTCTTCTTAGTCCTTTTGCTTGATAATATAATTGTAATAAAAAAATTATTCATCAGGTGTGTGAACTGAGAGAAAATGGTGTGTGGAAATAGAATTACCCCCCAAACCCCTATTAATGGGGGCTAAAACTGGGTGTATGTGTAATTATAGATTGAATGATTATTAAAATTTGTTTGTGTATCCTAAATATCTATGGTTATGTAATTGTCGAATATAACTTAATAACAATGGAGAAATCATTGAACTTTAAGATTCAGTAAAAAAACTTCCACATGGGACTGCTGGATCTCTGTGGCTGACTTGCATATCTGTTTGAGCTGCATACACCTATAAGCTCTAAGGTAAGGAGGTTTAGAAAAGACACTTTTGCAGAATTTTAGGATGCATTTGTCTTCAGGTGAGGATTGAAGTGAAAGTGGAACTGAAAAATATTTTCAAAACTATGTACAAGAGTTGTGCTTGCTCATATTTACTTCACTGAAGTTAGCAATTAACTGCTTTATGGCTTACTGGACAAATATTTCTTTGTACTCTGCAATATTGGATTCTTAGTTTGAGAAACACTACCCCAGGAAAGCTCAGAACAAAGATAAGAATGTTTACATATATTTTATGTTAATGCTATTATATATTGTGAAAATCTGTACTTCTGTTTGTTTGGGAAACATGCTATTAGTCTCTTTCCCACTTATCTGTTTTTAACCCATTACATAACCAAATCACTGCTCAATGTCGCTTATATTGATTCCATTGAAGGTTGTCACATTTATTATTATTTTTTAATTGTTTCTCCAGGCACTGGATCTTATAAGGGGAAAAAATGTTTTGTTGCTGATGGATTCATCCTTGGAAGGACAATATGCCAATGAAGATGCAACTGCATTGGTTGAACTTGCTTCAAAATGTCTCCAGTATGAGGCTAGAGATCGACCAGATATTAAGTTTCTTCTTACTGCGGTAGAACCCCTTCAAAAGCAGAAAGAGGTGAAACTTTGATAACTAGTTTTGAACAGGACTGTGTGTGAACATAATTACTGAGTTGTTTTTTGCATTTGATGACTTCATTGCTATGTCTATCTGAAGAAAATCTCATTCACATTGATATTTGTAGGTTGTGTCACATGTTTTGATGGGTCTGATGAAAACTCCAGTGGTGCTGCCAACCATGCTTTCTCCTCTTGGAAAGGCTTGTGCAAGGATGGACCTTACTACGGTTCATGATATCTTGCTTAAAACGGGTTATAAAGATGAAGAGGGTGCAGAAAATGAGGTGAGCAAATAATCCTGTTGTGTTTTCACGCAATTTGATGGTTAATGGAGATTGCAGTTTGCAGGTCTATACATGGTTCGTGTGCCCTTTTGTCTGTCATCTTAATGAAATCTTGTTTAAAAATAAAAAAATAAAAAAAAAGAGGAAATTTTAGGTCTTCACTTGATCCACTGAAAAGCTAGATAGGTAGTAGTTATAAATAATAGAAATTTTGACCCTAGATTTACAGGTCTATATATGGTTGGCGTGGCTTTTTGTGCTTCATCTTAATAAAATCTTGTTTAAAAGAATTTTAAATAGGACTCAAAATTCTACCTTCCTAATATATAAGCGATTTCTGGCGGAATGAAATAGGTACCTGGAATGTTTCCGGCGAAGGCGAAGACTGGGCCGTGGTGTAGGATTCTCTTCCTTGCGGGTCGATCTTTTGAGATACAGGAGGTGTCAAGGGACCAACGAGGCAATTGACGGCTGGGAATTGTGGAACGTGGCTTAGGATTACGGCGAGAAGTGCTTTTGGTCGGATTTGAAGTGGGGTGGATTGCTAAGAAGTTGCGGGAGGCATCACGTAACATAGGGACCCAATCTTTTCTGGGTCGGTTGGATGGAAAATGACGAAGTGTGGCAGTCTGGACTTGAGGTGTGGAGGATGGAGGGGCCTCGCTTTAGATTGTGGTTACGACTGAGGGCAAGTGATATCAGACTTTTCTTTCTGCTTCGGAGTTCATGGATAGATGAGAGGGAGTTATTGAGGGCTTTGCCAAGGGGAAGGGTTGGGTCTTGAAGTCTGGTGACATAAAAGGGACATCAGTGGTGCAAAGGGGTGAGCCACTGACTGCAGGAGACGTGCCTCCTATGGGCAACGGTGATAAATTGATTCAGGTTGTAGTGGAGGAGGGGTGGTTTGGGTCAGGTGGGGGGTAAGGGTGTGGGGTTTTTGGCCATGATGGAGTGGGTAAGCTCGTGGTGGAAGATGTCGAGGACGGTGGAAATCCGACCAGTTGGGGTCAAGCCTTTCTCTTCATGTTCCCTTCACGACTAAAAGCTGGGGAGGTCTTGAGGTGCTGGTAGGTAATTGACAGGTGTGATTTGGGTTTGCAATGGTGGTCACCATCAACTTTTTGCGATAAAGGGATGACATTTGGGCCAGAGACGACGGTGTGGGTGAGGGTGGTGTGATTACCCATACATCTTTGCGGGGTAAAGACGTATAGGGCCATCGGTGAGAAGTGTAGGGGTTTGGTGGATGTTGATGAGCTTTCGGCTGATCTAGGTGTGGTCTGAATGCAACTCCAAAGTGGTGGCAGCATAGCACCTAAGATTTTGCTCCGACGGGAGTCATGGCAATATGTGCTACCTCTGTGGCCGGAGGTTGGGCCAACGATCGAGGTTGTTCAGCCGGCAGTGGAGATGCGAGGTGGGGGGGCAGCCGAAGAAGGAAGGTAGTATCTGGTTGCGTGATGATAGGGGGATGTTTTGGATTAAGGATCTTGAGGGATTTGATCAAAGATTTGGGGGAAATATTTTAGGTCTTGGGCCTTGGGGCAGACAACTGAGAAAAGGGGGGTGGGCTTTGGAGGTAAATAGTTGGGCTCAAATCATAAGGGGTGGATGGACCGTAGGGGCAGAATGGGAGCCTAACATCCAGTGGGCTTCTTTAGTAGAGTTGAGAAGATTTGGCAATAGGAGTCGTGGACTGGGCCCTAACAGTTCAAGCCCATATCAAAAAGAGAGGACCGACGCTAGGAGAGGCCCAGTGTTAACAATGGGGGCACAAATTAACCTGACTATTGATCGGGTGCTCGGATCTCTGCGTGACAAAATTGGGTCAAGTCGCCAAATTAACAATGGTGATGCTTTGTTGTCAAGCGGGGCAGTGGCGTGGGCTTTGTTGGAGGAGCCTAGTGTGCCGACGATGAGTCTAAGTCCTGGGCAGCTGGTGGTGGGAGATTTGATGTTGTGAAGTCTGGAAAAGGTACAGTGGAGGATGCAGTGCTTACCCTGACAAATCAGTTGATAGAAGATGAGACTTGTGGGGAAGTGCTGGGTCAGTCAGGGGAGTATGTGGCGTCTAAAGCAATGACGGAGGAGAGATGGGAAAATTTGGGTGAGAAGCATGCCTGGGGATAAGGCACTGGGCCCGAATGGTTTTTCTATTGCTTTTTTTTCAACATTGTTAGGGGGTGGTGAAAGGGGAGGTGATGGCTATGTATGAGCAGTTTCATCGAACTGGGCAATTTGAGCGGAGTCTGAATGCAACTTTTATACCTTTGATTCCTAAGAAGGGGGGCCGGAGGGCATTCAAGATTTTCAGCCTATTAGTCTTTTGGGCATTGTTTACAAACTATTGGCCAAGGTTTTGGCTAATAGACTTTAGGGCGTGTTAGAGAGGGTGGTGTCAGAATCATAGAATGCTTTTGTGGGTGGTTGACAAATTTTGGATGTTGTTCTGGTGGCTAACGAGTGTGTGGATTCACGGCTCCGGTAAGGAAAACGGGGGATAATTTGTAAGCTGGATGTTGAGAAGGCTTACGATAATGTGAACTAGAAGTTTTTGTTGTACATGATGGAGATGACAGGTTTTGGGAAGCGGTGGAGGAGGTGGATACAATTTTGTGTTTCTACTGTTCGAATGTCTGTTCTGGTTAATGACACACAGGCAGGTTTCTTCCCCATTTAGAGAGGTTTACGGTAGGGTGACCCTTTGTTCCCATTATTGTTCATTTTGGTTATGGAGGCATTAAGTCGTCTGTTCTCTAGGGCGGTCCAAAAGGGGTTTGTTATCAGGTTTCGAAGTGGGTATGGGACCTGGTTCTTTGGTGGTTTCTCATCTTTTCTATGCTGATGATGTGTTGATTTTTTGCAATGCGGATTCTTATCAGATTGGCAATTTGCGGTGTGTATTGTTATGTTTTGAGGCAGTGTTAGGTTTGCGGGTTAATTTGGCAAAATCAAAATTGATACCGGTAGGTGAGGTGGACCAATTGTCGGTGTTATCTTGGGCTATAAGGTGGTAATGTTTTCAGTTTCTTATTTGGGTCTTCCTTTGGGGGGGCTTCCTTTAAGGAGACACGGGGTGTGGGATAGGGTGATGGACAGAGTTCAGCTGCAGTTGGCGGGGTGGAAGCGACAGTACTTGTCAAAAGGAGGACGGATCACTTTGATCAAGAGTGTTCTATCTAATATTCTTACGTATTTTATGTTGGTGCATGTGATTCGTATCGAGGTAGCAAAGAGGTTAGAGAAGTTGCAACGAGATTTTTTGTGGCGTGGGGGCGGGGAGGGTTTTCATTGCCATTTGGTGAACTGGGAGAAGGTTTGTACTCTGAAGGAGATGGAGGGTTTGGGGGTGCAGAAATTGGTAGTGTTTAATCAAGCTCTATTGGGGAAGTGGTTGTTGCGTTTTGCAGGGGAAAGGAAGCAGCTATGGAGGAGGGTGGTGGTAGCTAAGTACGGGGAGGAGAGGGGGGGTTGGTGTTCGAAGAGGGTGGCTCAGCCTTATGGTCGAGGATTGTGGGAGGGGATTTGGTTGGAGAGGGAGGCTTGTTGGGAACGAGTTCGGTTTAAAGTGGGAGCAAGAGATCGAGTTTGTTTTTGGCGGGATTGGTGGTGTGGAGAGCTGTCTTTGGCGGCCATGTTCCCTTTGATATTTGCGATTGCCGCTAATGGGGTGGTTGCTTTGGTTAGGGTGAGTCACGAGCAATCAGTTGTTTGGAACGTTTGTCTTCGACGTGATATTCAGAATTGAGAGATAGACAAATTGGTGGATCTTTTGAGTTTTTTGTATGGGTTGTAGTATGGGGGGAGGGGGAATGGGGTGGATTCTTTGGTATGAGATTTTCTAAGTTCTAAAGGTGTTTTTTTAGTGTCATCATTTTATAAGGTGCTTGCATCGGGTAGTGGTGGTGCATTTCCTTGGAAATGTATTTGGGCGACGAGATCTCCTTCCAAGGTAACTTTTTTTGTTTGGATAACTGCTTTGGGTCGTGTTCTCACTATTGATAATTTGATTTGGCGGCGGCATGTATTGGTCAATTGGTGTTGTTTGTGCTGTAGAGATGTGGAAACGGTTGATCATTTGCTTGTGCAATGCCCCGTTGTGTCTCGGCTTTGGTGTACGAATCGGGCTTGGTATTGGAGGTGTTGCTCAGTTGGGATGGGGCGAGGGTGGGTAAGAGGCGGTGGAAGGCTTGGTTACTTGCTTCTCATTGCTTATTGTGGTTAGTTTGGTTGGAGCATAGAAGACGTATTTTTCAGAACAAATGTCATTCATTTCTTTGGTTAGAATTACGCTTCTTATGGTTTTGCATAGTTAGGTTGCAGGTTCGGTTGATCCTGATGTGTTCACTTTTGTACATTTTGTAGAGGATTTGCTTAGCTAGTGAGATTCTGCGGACTGTTTTGGCCTGCTATTTCGTTTGTATTCTTTGCATCACTTTAATGCTTTTCTAATAGTCTTATTATTTATCAAAAAAAAAAAATTTGTTTAAAAGAAAAAAAAAAAAAGTGAGAATTTTGGGCCATCACTTCATTCATTGAAAAACTAGATAGGTAATAATATAAATTTTGACCTTAGCTTTACTTGATCCACTGAAAAGCTAGATAGGTAATAAAAAATAGAAAATTTGACCCTAGATTTATAGGTCTATATATGGTTGTTGTGCTGTAGAGATGTGGAAACAGTTGATCATTTGCTTGTGCAATGCCCCGTTGTGTCTCGGCTTTGGTGTACGAATCAGGCTTGGTGTTGGAGGTGTTGCTCAGTTGGGATGGGGCGAGGGTGGGTAAGAGGCGGCGGAAGGCTTGGTTACTTGCTTCTCATTGCTTATTGTGGTTAGTTTGGTTGGAGCATAACAGACGTATTTTTCAGAACAAGTGTCATTCATTTCTTTGGTTAGAAAGTACGCTTCTTATGGTTTTGCATAGTTAGGTTGCAGGTTCGGTGGATCCTGATGTGTTCACTTTTGTACATTTTGTGGAGGATTTGCTTAGCTAGTGAGATTCTGCGGACTGTTTTGGCTGCTATTTCTTTTGTATTCTTTGCATCACTTTAATGCTTTTCTAATAGTCTTATTATTTATCAAAAAAAAAAAAAAAGGGAGCATTTTGGGCCATCACTTCATTCATTGAAAAACTAGATAGGTAATAATATAAATTTTGACCTTAGCTTTACTTGATCCACTGAAAAGCTAGATAGGTAATAAAAAATAGAAAATTTGACCCTAGATTTATAGGTCTATATATGGTTGGCATGCCCTTTTCTGCTTCATCTTAGTAAAATCTTGTTTAGAAGAAGGAAAAAAAAGGGAGAATTTTGGGACGTCACTTGATCCACCGAAAAACTAGATAGGTAATAATAGAAATTTTGACCTTAGCTTTACACTTTTAAATTAAATATAGAGAAAATTTTTGGTCATCACTTGATCCACTGAAAAGCTAGATAGGTAATGATAGAAATTTTGACTTACAGGCTTTACACTTTAAAATTAAAATATTGATGTCACGTTGTCCTTTATTATACGTAAGAAGTTATTATACTCTGCATGACTTCTTCTTTTTTTGGCTTGAGTATGGCTCTGTGTCATAATTTATTATTCAATCTTGTAGTTATGTTCATACTTTTGGCTTTAGTTAGTCTTACATATAATAAGATATTATCTCATGGGAATGTGGTCTTCATGTAGCTATCATTCCAAGAATGGACTCAGCAAGTTCAAGATATGCTAAACACAAAGAAATTTGGGGATATTGCATTTAGGGACAAAGATTTCAAGAGCGCCGTTGATTATTATTCAAAGGTATGGAGTGTACTTATTCTACTGGTGGACTCATTTACCAAATTTCAATGAGTATGAATTTCTATTTGTTTTATTATTGAATCTTCATTAAAGCATCAATAGAATATTCTCAGATTCAATTCATTTATTTTTTAATGTCAAATCCTTATTTGCACTGATGCAAGGGTTTATATATTTGGGAAAATTACCCAAAAATGGGAAAATAAAAAATAATTACATTAGAGATGGAAACTTGCAAAATAATTGCTAATGGGTGGGAATATTTTGTAAAATGACAAATTTACCCTTCCCCTTCCTCTCTTTCCCCTCTTCCCTCTGAAACAAAACATCCTTGCTGGCCAACTCCTCCCGGTGCCAGTAGACCCTTCCCTGCCACCGCCAGTCCCTTCCCACTTGCCCCAACCTCCCAACCCCTTCCCCACACTCCCCAACCTCGCACACCCACTGCTTTGTAATCCCTTCCCTCCCACCCCGACTCCTCCCCACGCCTCCCTCCGCCTCACCTCTCCACCTCTTCCACCCTGTCCCTCCCCCGTAGCCCTCTTCCCGGCCCCCTAGATTGAGGAGTGTGGTGCTGGGGGTGATATGTACATTGGACATAGAAAAAACTTATGATCATGTAATTTGTCTATATCAGAATCATGCATGACAAGATACAACTACTGCAATAATACCTTTCATGCTTCTACATCCCTATTCGTAACCAAGTTGCTTTATGAGGCACATCAGTTATGACCTTTTGAAAAAGAGAGAAGTTTCATCCCATATTTTCTCATGCAACTGATTTTGCATTTCATGACTGTTCATTGCCAGCTTTACATGTTTTCTTTTGTTACCTTTTTGTTCCGCTTGCTTGGTTTTTAGTTTTTACCACTCCCAGCACCCTTGATGAATGACCACACATCTGGTAATCTCTCTTTCCGTCATTTATCTAGTTTGGCGTCTTGCTTTGTTTCATGAATATCTGCTCCGTTTCCCAACATCCACAAAGATGTACCCAAATATTGATTCAAACCGTTAATTGAAAAATGCAGTTGGTGTCAATGATGTCTGTCCCTTCTGGCACTGTCTTTTTGAGGCGAGCCCTCTCCTACTTGATGATTGGCCAACCGGAACTTGCACTAAGGGATGCCATGCAGGCTCAGGTGTGCTTGCCCGAGTGGCCTACTGCCTTCTACTTCCAGGCTCTTTTCCTCTCCAAACTCGGAATGGAAACTGATGCCCAAGACATGCTGAATGATGGCGCTGCCATTGAGACAAAGAAACAAAACAGCTGGCGCAATTAACTTACAACCTCTGAGCTCTGCTTCATGCAGCAAAAATGAGATCAAACACATTGCTAAGGACTGGAAGAGATTCATGTGGTGGCAAATTTAGCAATGGTGACAGGTTACACTTCAGTTTCCACCCCCCTGTTGTAGACAAAGTAGTTCCATACACAGAAATGTATAAAGCTCTTAAAATAGCAAAAATAAGTAGATTAGTTAATGACATCAATGCCATTTTGCTTTAGATATTGGTCTTCAGTCCTTGTGATTTTGGCATGGAACTTGGTTAGAGAACTTAATCCATTATGGGTTTTAGCATATAGATGGGAAAGCCTCCATGGACTGCCACATGAAATAAGTAATAATATCTATAAATTAGCTATTGATGTGGGAACTACATGTGATAAGATCACTGTAATTTTCAAGCTGTAGTTAGTCCTCTGCTTGGCTCTGCTTGGCTCAAAATCCATGTTGATTATGGAATTGTATGTGTTTCTATGTTTGGTCACATTTTTATTTTGGCAAATTGGAGGTTGTAGCCTGAAAAGGCGGTGTCTTGGTTTTGGAAAGATTTGAACAGGTGGAACCCTTAATCTCCTACTGAGTTGATTATAGGTACTCTTTTCTCTATCATTTGTGGTATTCGCCATCGTCTTTGTCATCTGACCGAGGAGCATCACTTTGGCTTTGAAGCAGCTGCATGATATTGGCATTTTGTAAACATGATTCGGTTATTCTCATTTGGAGAAAGTCTTTGCGATGAAGTGAGCCGAGGAGTCAAGTGAAGTGCCAGCACTGCTAATTGAGTGTGTGCTGTCAGTAAGAAGGGAGATGGAGACGAATGTTTTGGTCACATTTTCAACAGTAATTTTTTAAAAACATTTACGCGAGTCATTAATATCTTGAAGAAAAATGATTTACAAATAAAATTTTCACGCAAAAAAGTTTAAATCATAATGATTTCATAATCTTGAAATTACAAGCAATAATGAAGAATATTGAAATTAAAAGTCATAATGAAGGGTGTTTTAGTTGAAAAGTAAAGGAGCATAAAGGGTTTTTTCATTCGGTATGGGAAATTTTGTATAGAATTATGCTTGTGTATCATTACTAAATTTTGAATCTTAGTGTTTCCAGGTACAGTGGTTAAAACTTGACTCACTAAGTTTAAGGTTGAGTTCTAATACTAGGACAATTCTTGCAAATTATGTCAAAGATTATATTTATGTTCAATCTACAACCTCCCAAATCCTTATCAGAGTTTTATTTAATTTTAAAAAATTTTCAAATCAACATTTTGAACCCAGCCTGGAATTAAATTTGTTCCATGGAGTAATATTGCCCAAGATTTGATTTTGGATAAGTAGCAGAAATGTTGAAATTTAGGCATTGGATTATTAGTGAGGTGCAAAAATTTCAGAGATTCTATTCCTGCCCATTTTCTCTTTCTTATTAGGCATTAAAACTCCTTTTCAAATGATTTTTAGTTTTATTCTTTAATCTTGTTGTACAAATGGAAATAGATATAAAAATGAAATTGAATAAAATAAAATGACTCGAATATGTTAGGCTTATTAACGCTATGTCTGTTGTGTTTGGATAGTGAATTTATAGCAAAAAGAGAGGAAAACAAAATTGGCCACAAAGCAAAACAAAAATAAAAAATAAAAAATAAAAAAAAAGACCCCGCGGGGGGGGGGGGGGAGGAATCTTTTTGATGATTATTTATTTATTTTCTTTTTTCCACCTATTTTTCTTTGTTCTTTTTATATCCTATGCAAATTTAAATACAATGTTAAGAATACATAATTGATCACAAAATGATTGAAGAAAAAATGTAATAAAAATTTAGAATTAAATTTAATTATGAAGAGATTTAGATTTAAAATAATTTTGAGTTTATTATATATTCTGTGACTCATTTTGTATTTTAATCTCAACAATATTAGGTATGAATTTTTTTGGCTGGAGTGACTTAAATATCTCAAAACGATCTCATTTTAGGTATAAAACGATATCATTTTAATACATTCGAACCATTTAAACCACACAAAGACAAACCACCAAATATTTTTATTTTAATTTTGTATTTATGTACTACTCGAAACAACAAAGCAAAGGCCCTCGTGGTTGTTATTTGTCACCGGATGCAAAAATTGACATCTGAACAAACATGTTGACCCTAGGAAAACAGACAAATCCCAAATTAGATCAAACAAAAGAAAATGGAATGCTTTTTATGTGCTTATAACTTTTGATGCAACTTTTCGTATGCAATTCTTGACCAATTTGTTGGAACCGACACTGGATTCACTCAATTTTGACTACTTTTACAACTACAAAAATATTTTCATTTTATTTTTTTAAAATTTAAAAGTTTCAAAATTTCAAATTTCTCTCTTTTTATGACAAAGAAACTCGATGACGTTTCGCAGAGTAA